CTTTCATTTATAAATTTATTTATGCTTTGTTTTTCTTGATTATTTTATCTTATTTTATTTTTCAAATAACTATTTTCTAGGTATTTCTAGTTCTCGCTACTCTAGAATACATTTCATTTCCTTTTATGTTGTTTAATTTTTTAATGTGATTATTGTTGTTAGGTTCCTGCCATCAAGTAGAGTATAACTCATAGCAACCCAAAGAACAAACGATCTGAAACCAGTCCTGTCCTGCACCATCCTCACACTTTCTGACACACAATAGCCCATTGCAGCAGTCATCATGTCAGTCCACCTGGTTGAGGGTCTTCCTCTCCTTCACTGACCCTCCACTTTTCCCAACATCATGTCCCTCTCCAGGGAATGGCACCTCCTAGCAATAGGTCCAAAGTATGTGAGGTGAGGCCTCATCATTCTTGCCTCCAAAAAGCACTGTGGCTGTGCCCTCTCCAAAACATAGCTATTATTTTTTTTGGTCATCCGTGGAATGTTCAGTTCTCTTCTCCAGTACCACAGCTCAAAAGTATCAATTCTTTTTCTGTCATCCTTATTCATTTTCCAGGTCTGCATAGCTAGTAATTGGAAAGACGATGACCTGAATATCACTACTCCTCAATAATTTGGAAGGGTCCCTAACTGCAGATTTTCCCATTGCAATGCATCCCCTTATTTCCTGACTGCTTGTATCTTGACTAACTCCTAGTAAGTTGGTAGGATTTTAAATTTCACTTACATTTTAATAATTATAAAGATATAAACTTATTTTCTAATCACCGAAAAATCAGTAGGTGGCAAAGAATATAACAAGACTTTTCTATTACCTTTCATTGTAGTTTTGTTTATTCTAGTAACAAGTTTCTAAGACTTCATTGTACAGAATGTCAACACATGGGTCTAGGAGGTGGACAGACACAATACATGGCATGTAAGAAGGACTTCATAAATCTTTGCTAATAGCTATTATAATCTTCATGTGGATATGAAACAATGCCTTGTTTAAAGTGGTTTTCCATTTTCATTAAAGTGGATATTTTTATTTTAAGATATTAACTATTTAAGCTTAGGGCAGTGTCATTCATTGATCCCACTCTGACCTTCGATTCTTTTTAATTAATTAATAAATTAAAATTATGTAGTGGAAAACTTCAAACCACTCTACACTTTTTAGTAGAAAAGAAGCCATGTCTCTGTGTGTGTGTGTGTGTGTGTGTGTGTGTGTGTGTGTGTGAGAGAGAGAGAGAGAGAGAGATTTAATGATTTGTTTGATTTTCTCCCTTCTAATATGGTGAGCAAGGAGGCCTGGTGACACAACAGTTGTCTGCTCAGAAAAGTCGTAGTTCATACCCACCTAGTGGCTCTGAGGAAAAGACCTGACAATCTGCACCAAAAAAATTACCATATTTTTGTGAAAATAATCTGTATATTGTAGCCTAGTGGCAACAAGGTGTGCTGCAGTCCCGAAGGCACGCAGTTCAAATCCACCAACTGCACTGCAGGAGAAGGATGGGCATTCTCTACCCATGCAATTAACCGCCTTTGAAAACCTGCTAGAGGGTCAGCTATGGGTCGATTCCAACTTTGTTGTACACAGCAGCAACAACAATCTGTATATTAAGTTTTTTAATGTTCTCCACTTAAGCAAACCATGCTTTTATTTTTACATATTGTGATATAAAAATTTAGCATAATATGCTCTCAGAAATAATTTAAGGAGGGCATGGTTGGCAAAGAAAGACAATTGATGCCTTTGAGCTGTGGTGCTGGAGAAGAGTGTTGAATATACCATGGACTGCTAGGAGAAGAAACAGGTTTGTCCTGGAGAGGGTGAAGCCAGAATGTTCCCTGGAGTCAAGGATTCTGAAGCTCCATCTGACATACTTTGGGCATGTTGTTAGAAGGGACTGGTCCCTGGAGAGGGACATCATGTTTGGGAGAGTGGAGGGACAGCGCAGGAGAAGAAGACCCTCGATGAGATGGATTGATTCTGTGAGTGAAGTGGTGGGAATGAGTGTGTTTGAGACAGCGAGGTTGGCACAGGATAGAACGGTGTTTAGGGCTCTTGTACATAACCCTCCAGCTGGTTCTCAAAGGCAGGAAATCACACAGGGTAAATTGCCCATCTTTTATTCTGTGGAGATGCTGGTGGATTCAAGTCACATACCTTTGGTTTGGCGGTACAATTCCTTACTAAGCCATCAGAGCTCCCCCAAAAAGGATCATGGCATCAGGACTAGAAGAAGACTCATCAACAACCTGTGTTAAACAGTCAACATTATATTTGCAGAAAGTGAAGAAGACCTAAGAACTTACTGCAGAAGATCAAAGAACAGACTTCAGTGTGGAATGCATCTCAATCAACATCAAGAAAAAAATCCTCTTAACTGGACCAGTAGACAACATCATGATAAATGGAGAAAAGACTGAAATTGTAAAACACTTCATTTTACTTAGATCCACAGTCAGTACTCATGGTAACTATAGTCAATGAATTAAAAGATGTGTTGCATTGAGAAAAATACATTGTCAAGGGCCTCTTTAAAATGCTAAAAAGCAGGGATATCAGTTTAAAAACCAAAGTGCACCTAATTCAAGGCATGGTGTTTGTCATTGCTTCATATGCAAGTGAAAGTTGGATTATTAGTAAGAAAGACGCAAGAAGATTTGAGGCCTTTGAATTGTGATATTGGTGAAGAATGCTAATTGTTTAATGGACTGCCAAAATGAACAAACAAATGTGTCATAGAGGAAGTGTGACCAGAAGCAAAGGATGGTAAGATATCATCTCTCATACTTTGCATGAGGCCCCAGTCCTTTGTAAAACACATCATACTTGGGAAAGTGGAGGGTTAGCAAAAGAGAAGACACTCAACAAGGTGGAATGATACAATTATTGCAAAGATAAAATTGAGTATGGATGAGATTATGAGAATCATGGACAAGGTTTCCATCCATTGTTCATAAGGGTTGCTATGAGCTATAAGGAGCTTTGATGGTCTAGTGGCAAGAACTGTGCTGCAATCCCAAAGGCCCATGGTTTGAAGCCACCAGCTGCTCTGCAGGATAAGGATGGGCAATCTCCCATGTGATTCACTGCCTCTGAAAACCCACCAGTTCTGACTCTATGGTACATAACAACAATAACAACGAGCTATGGTCAACTGGATAGCTCCTAACAACAACTGTCAGAATACTGTGCTTGTCGATTGGCCCTGAAAATAAAAAACAAACCCAAAACAACCTTGTATTTTCACCTTTCCCTGTGTTTAAGGCTTTTTCATTATCGAATTCCCCCCCCCTATATTTCTCATTAAACTTTAGATCATTATTTTAGTTTTGAAGGGGAAAAAATACAAAAACAAAAACTGCTCAGTCTCCCTTGTATAAAACTAGGGCTTTGGACAGCTTCATTATGATTTGACCTCTTCCTCAGAATCTGCATTTATACCCTGAATCATCCTGAATCAGAATCTTTATTTTATATTTATATTTTAACAGGAAATTCTTATTATGTATTCCCTGAGAAGCTTGTCAAAATATAATTATTAATATACTTTACTGCGGGATCTTGTTAAAATACAGGATCTGATTCAGTACATCCTGGGAGAAAGTATAGACTCTTGGCAGGAAGTCAAACCTAAAGAACAAGTTCAAAGCCCCAAATAAAATTCAACTGTGATTAACTCTCTACTGACTGCAGTTCTACTGACTGCAGTAAAGGTCAATGTCAAGTTATCAGGAGCCAGATCTATAGAAGTCAGCTGTCTGCTCCCAGTATTACTCCTCTGTTCCCAAACTTAATGGAGGTAGGCTTTATTGAAGAAGCTGATAGTTTTCCTAACATGTTTAATAGTATTTGGATTCTGTGTGTGTGTGTGTGTGTGTGTGTGTGTGTGTGTGTGTACTGTCAAATCAGATCTGAATGGCATAGGAGAAGATTAACGCCCTCTCCAGCAGAGCATCTGGCGGATTTGAACTGCAGTATTTGGATTTTTTTTTCAGTATCTTTTTCTATTGCTATGACAAACAGTCTTGACATTTGTAATTTTCATAGTGTCCATTGCTATACTTGTCTCACATACTGATAAAATAGATATGAGGCTTGTAGTAGTATGTTAGAATTGTAAACTTTTTTTAATTTAAGAGTCATTTATTTTCTTTCTGCTTTATTTAGTGTTATGCAAGTATTTATTTCAAAGAGTATAAGCTACAACACTCTTTAATAAGAGTGACAAAACCTTCCTTGCTAAAAGTGAGTATGTTTTGAAGCATTTACTAAAGAAGCCTTCAGTGTCTGTTACACGTCAACATAAAGAAAACATCAAGTCCTTACAGACGGGGCCAGTAAGCAACCTCATGATAAACGGAGTAAAGATTGAAGTTGTCACATATTTCATTTTACTTGGATCTACAATCAACCCTATGGAAAGAGCATTCAAGAAACGTTACTGTTGTTGAGCAATAGAACTGATGCCTTTGAATTGTAATGTTCTTGAAGAGTATTGAAAATTATACACCATGAACTATCTTGGGAAAAAGTGAAGCTAGAGTGCTTCTTAGAAGCAAGGATGGTGAGATTCTGCCTCACGTACTTGGGGCATGTTACCAGGAGGAGCAAGTCCCTGAAAAATAGACATCATGCTGGGAAAACAAGAGCACCTACGTCAGCGGGACCCAGTGGCTCCAACAGTGGGCTCAATCAAGCACAGCCGAGTTTGTGAGGCTGGCACAGGACCAGAGAGTGTTTGGTTCCGTGGTACATAGGGTTGCTATGAGCCAGAGCTGACTTGATGGCACCTAACAGTGTAACTCCACTATGCCTTTAAATGTTTCTCAGGTTTTTGCAAATTTTAATGATTAGTAATTAATCGCCAGTTTCCTCTGCCTAGCATGTATAAATTGACTTTACATTTCATGATGATATGCGGGAACTATATAAATGGGTGGATAGTTCTGTTTTCTGACTTATTAACTGAACTGACAGAACAATTTTGTCAAAGCAGATCGGAGACATAAAAACAGCTGAAAAGTATTTTCAAGACGTTGAGAAAGTAGCACAGAGATTGGATGGACTACAGGGCAAAATAATGGTTTTAATGAACAGGTATGTATTTCTCTTTCTCTCTCTGTAGTTTTTCCCCCTCTGAAATTTACTAAGAGAACTTAAACTATACTTAGTGAGTAGTAAACTCTCTAGAGAGAGAATGCGTTTGTTCGATATCTCTCAGAACTGATACTGAATACATCATAGATTTGTGAGGTATACTAATGTGCTTTTAGTCATAAAAATTTATTTTAAGGAGATTTTTCCTCTTGTTTTACAAATTACTACATTTCTATTACCCTGTTTTCAACATAAATTTGCATAGATGTTTATTATTGCTAGCGGGCCAGTGATTTTGGATTCATGTGTTTTGGTGTTCTGTGATCAGATTTTATGAGTAAAACAATAGTGTCACTTTGTTGTGAACATGTTTATTAAGATGAACTCTCTGCTCAATATAAATCCTACGCACAACAACAGAAAGTAAAGAAAATAGCAGGAAATTACAGTTAGGTGAAGTTACTATTCTAAATTAATAAAAGTTAGACTTACTTCAGTTTGCTAGCCAGAATGTATGATGTGGTTCAATCAACCAAAATGTCACTACCTCCATCTGGAAAGCATTAACACCCAGACTACTCAGAATTACACTTGGAAGAGCAAATGTCAAATGTTCATATCTTTGCAGGTTTTTTTTTAAAGCCACACTATCAGTTTTGTTGGTATACACAAACATCTTGACTTTTCTTGGTTAACTGCTTTATATGTCACTTACATTGCAGAGCTTTCCTTCACCTTGGTCAGAATAACTTTGAAGAAGCCCACAAATTCTTCACAGAAATTTTACGGATTGAGCCAACAAATGCAGTGGTAAGATTCCCAAAGAGAAATATACACAAGTAAGCCTCGGAGCCACAGCATTTCTCAGGAATTCTCAAAGTGTACTCTACAGCGAATTTAAAATCACACCTACTGGCCACCCCCAAGCCCACTGGCATCACCTAGCTCGTAGTGGTTGGTAGGGGAGGGTCTCAGACCTGCCTGAGCACTAACCTCTTGCACAGCTTTGCACAGCCATCCACCCAGCATGAACAATGGCAGTCCTGGTGCTTAGGAGCTACAACTCGGTTCAGGGATAAATAAATATGATTGTGAATTGACGGCCAGTGATGTCTTTCTAGTATGTGATCTCTTTGTTCTAATTCTGCACACGTGCTCCATTTCTCTAGGCGAATAACAATGCTGCCGTGTGTCTGCTTTATCTGGGGAAGCTGAAGGATTCCCTCCGGCAATTGGAAGCAATGGTACAGCAGGACCCTAAGCACTATCTGCACGAGAGTGTGCTTTTCAACTTGACAACCATGTATGAGCTGGAGTCGTCCCGGAGTATGCAAAAGAAGCAGTCCCTGCTGGAGGCAGTCGCTGTCAAAGAAGGGGACAGCTTTAACACGCAGTGTCTCAAGTTAGCATAGGTCATTTCCTAATGGCCCGTCCCCTCCAGAATGACGAAGGTTTTCATAGACCATACAAATGGGAGTTAATATGTGACTGTAACTCTTCATTCAATAAAACCTCCTTCATTGTAGTTTGGGAAAGTGTCATCTTGAACTTGAGCCACAACCCAGGCTTAGGCTGTTCTGGCAGTTTGTTGAACTTGAGCCAGCTTAATCCCTGCAGCTCTGCCACTACTTATGAAGAAAAGGGAGTAAACACACCATTAGAATGGTATTCAGAAAGAGAAAATCCATATTATGCACTAGATCCCCTTTGTTTATTCTGGGAAGCTAACCTGCTTCGTTTATTAATTTCTGAATATCCTCAGAGAAAGGCTGAAAAGTATAATACAAACCATTCTCTCTGTATGCTTAAATGTTCTAGAGAATTTATAAATAATGGAAGAGAAATACCAAACAGAGATTGCCATTCATCTTCTACCTTTCATTTCCCCCTCCCAAACCCCAAAACTAAAGGCATCAATTTTATTCATCTGATTCTTTTTCAGCCTCCTGTTGAAAACCTTGGACAAGCCTTGTGATGGGTGAAAAAATCCATCATTATTTCTCCTGTACATTATACATCATATGGAGAGAGGGGGAATGGTTGCATTTAGGGGGAGTGGGTAGAACAAAGGAATTCATAAGGCATAATGAAACAAAGGGAGAGCACTTAAAATCTATATAAACAGGTACATTAAAAGGTGCTTTGAACCAAGATGCATATGCATTTAAGTGTTCTTTTATGCCTAAGAATCACTACATTTGCTTTTATATTTATATAGTTAAGACCTACTTTAAAAAAAAAAGTCTGAAAATTTCTTCACTTTGATAAGGAACTTCTGTCAAGGATTCCTTAAATATCTAGCTCTTCTAATACATTTTAAAATATAATTCATGTTAAAGGCTCAGTGATACAAACATCTGTTGCATAAAACAAAGCTGTATTTCTATGTGTTTTGTAATAAAGCAGAAACACAAAAGTGTAGCATCTACCAGACAGACAGTCTCAATGCATTTGCTGAAAGAGAGATTAATTACACAATAAAATAGAAAAGAAGGTAAAGCAACCAATAGTATTGGCCACCAAAGTGATTTTAAATCTTTCTCCTCAAAAGACAGAAAAATAAAAACTTATTTTTTAAAAGCCCCCAAATCCAGTGATATAATTTGAAGCCCTTCACCTTGAGGGTTTTCCTTGAAATCTGGCTTCAGGGGATGAGGGGTGGAGGCTTTTCCCTCTGGCTCAAACCTGGAACCAAATTGTGGGGAGAGACAGATAGTCTTAGGGGGATTGTAAATGGATTATGGAATCTGTCATTTCTAGGTCAGTGGTTCAAAACGGTCCCAGGTCAGTTGTGCATAAAAGCGGATAATATTGCACAGTCTCCCGCTAGACATAAGCGAAGCAAATTAGAAATAGGAATCAAGGTTCACTATTAAAGTGGTATTTATATCCCAGAATCCAATCTTATTTCCCTGTAATTGGCACCTACAGTGAGAATGTACCAGGAGGCGACTGGGTCCTGGGGCAAAGATAGGTACTGTCTTTTTACTTTTCTTGGGTACAGCTCAACATACAGGCAGTGACAGGGCATGATTACCCCATCTCATTTGAGTTTTTTTATAGGCTTTAAAAAATAGAATAAAGACAATTTTTTTCCTATGGATGTCTTAATTAATATCTGTGATAATCTCTATTTTATCTAGTTTACTCTAGGTTTTGTCTTTTAAAATCCCTAAAATTAGACCCAAGTAGAGTGGATATTTACCCTTAAAGACCTTAACTTTTACATATCACACCTACAAAACCAGAAACCCCATTAGATTGATAATAGCTAAATAATTCTTGAATCTTATTCTTTAAGGCACCCAAACCTTTTACGTTTTTAGATTCTACTCACTGCCATAGATTCCATTCTGACACGAGATGATTCCCTATTGTGTCCAATGCCATAAATATTGACAGGAGCAGATTTCCATCATCTTCTCCCTCAAAGCCACTGACAGATTGGAACCTCTGACATTTCTGTTAGCAGCCAGTATGTAATACTACCAGGGGTTCAGGTCTTTCATTCATAGGGTCACTATGAATCATCTACAACTCGATGGCACTTAACAGCAACAACATTGTAATACTACATCACCAGGATTCCTTCTTTATTTTTTTTTATTTATTTTATTATTATTTGGGTGTGTTTGTACTGTCAAATCAGATCCAACTGATACAGGAGAAGATTGCCCCTCCTTCTCCAGCATGTGGTGCATTCAAACCAAGTTCCTTCAGGAAGGGCTCCTTCTTTAAAGCACAGTCAAAACTCAAAAAATTCAAATCTGCTGCCATCAAGTCATAGTAAATAATCAATATATAAGTCACTGATCTTAGTTCTCTATATAAATTGCTTTTAATCATTACTCAAACTCATTGCCGTTGAGTTGGAACCAAATGATAGCTGTCTCCCCACTGGGTTTTCAGAGGGTGTAAATCGTACAGAGGAGAGTGCCTATCTTTCTTCCAAGGAGAAATTAAAACCACCTGCCTTTGGATTGGCATGCAACTTCTTACCCACTAGGCCACCACAGCTCCCTAATCATTACCAAAGGGGCATAAGGCCTTCTCAGAGAGTAACTAATACTAATTAGACAAGTCTTTGATGGCAGTATAGTAGGTTAAACAATGGACTGCTAACCAAAAGGTTGATGGTTTGAAACCACCAGCCACTCTGAAGGAGACAGTCCGCTTCAGTTAGGATTTGCAGCCTCAAAAGATTAAGAACAAGTCAGAATGAACTCTATGACTGTGGATTTGAGTTCCAGAACCTACTGTGATTCCCTGAGTTGCATAGTTAAGAACTCAACTACCAGCTAAAAGAGTGGCAGTTTTAATCCACCCACTAAGGGCAAAGGGAGTTAAATGTTGGGCTGCTAACCAAAACACTTGATGGTAAAACCTACTAACTTACTCCATGGAGGAAGATGAGGCAATCTACTCCTATGAAAATTACAGCCTTGGAAGCAATATAGGGCAGTTTCTAGAATCAGTGGTAGTAAATTTTGGGGTATTTTTTTGTTTTGTCATTTTTGAAGCATCTCAGAACATCAGCTTAGTTATTTCATTCTGAAAACATGGCCTTGAAAGCTATATGGAGTCCCTGAAATTACTGTCTTTAAACCTGGATAATCTTCAAACCTAGAACTAACTCACTACACCCTCATAGAGATCACCGAACATACTGAACAACATACTGTTCAGAACAGTCAGCTCTGTGAGGCAATCAGGACAGACAATGCCTGAACAAAGCAAAGCTCAAACAGGAAGAGGCAGGAAAGGGGTGCAAACAGAAACGGGACCTAGGGAGAAAACAAGAAGAGTGTTGTTACACTGAGGGGAATGTACTTAGTGTCACAGAACAAAATGTGTGTAAGTTCGTAAATATGAAACAAGTGTTTTTTAAAAACTCCATGGAGTGCGGTCCTTCTCTGTACTCATAAAGTTGTCATGACAGAATCAGCAACACCATGGCATCTGTTTGAGCAGGACACACGCATTCAGGAAAGTGCCAGTCTTAATATTCAGACCTGCAAGAGCTGCATGTCCTCAGGGGTAGGAGAGGTAAGCTTATAAATGAATGATGAAGGACTACAGCTTGAATAATGCAGGGAGCTCTGGTGGCTTAGTAGCAAGAAGATGAACTGCAATTCTGAAGGCACGAGGTTCGAGTCCACCAGCTAGCTGCTCTGTGGGAGAAGGATGGACAGTCTCTTCTCATGCGACTAACTGCTGAAAACCTGCTGGAGGGTCAATTCAGACTCAAAGGTACACAACAACACTGCCTCCAACGAGTTTAGAAACAATAGAGGTCTGCTTTCGTAGTCAATAGGGAGGTGCACAGCTAACCCAAAGCCTTCCTCTCTCTAGTAGTTCAAATTCATCAGACACGCCATGGGAGGAAGATGGCCAATCTTTTGTGTGATTTACAGCTTCAGAAACCTAATAGAGGGTTGCTTTGAGTCAACGACAGCTTGAAAACAATGAGTTTGGGTTTAAAAGGAAGGAGAGGTATCTGCCAAGTTAACCAGCTGTATTTAATACTTCATTGTCTTAATGTTGTAGTGTGGTGCTGTCAGAGTGACTTACCACACATAAGAACACTGAGCAGCAGCTCAGAACCTAACCCTGTCTGGTGCCAGCCTCACAATCTTTGCCATGCTCACCCCCATGGTGGCAGTCACTCTGTCAGTCATTTTGGTGAGGCTCTTCTCTCTTTCACTGACCCCTCTACCTTTCCCAGCATAATGTCTTTTCCCAAGGACTAGCCCCTCCTGACATTGTGTCCAAGGTATGCAAGACAAAGTTTTACCATCCTTGGCTTTAGGGCGCACTCTGGTTGCACTTCTTTTTATGACAGGTGGGGTGCCCTGGTAGCAAAGTGTAGTAAGCGCTGGATCACTAACCAAAAGGTCAGGGGTTAAGTCTTCCAGCTTCTCTGTGAAAAACAGGCAATCTCCTCCCAAAAAGATTGTTCTAAAAATGACTCTGAAGGGGGGAAATTCCAGTATTAAATAAGAATACGCTGGTCTGCTAGGAAAAGGGAATTCATTCTGTGTGAAGGAAATTGTATTAGGAAATACAAGGGGATGGGGAAACCATGTCAGGTATTCAGTGGGGGCATAGGTCCATATCTGCACTAGAAAGGTAAAAAGGGGGTAAAGAATGAATGGTTGGCTACTTTTGGAATGAGGGTTCCAACATCTAAACACTCAAGAGTTTGGCTTTCTGCACTTAAGTCCAATCACAGTAGTGAATCTAAGGACTTTTCACATCTTGGAAAGGATAGTTGAGGTGGAAGATGGAAAAGAAGAAATGGGAAGCACTGAGGGTCCTGAAGGCAGGGAGGAAGTATAGGACATCATGATAGAAAGTAATTTTTAATAAAAAATATGTAGAGGAAGCTAGAGTGTGGGTGAAACGAAACAGC